TAACTAAATGTTCTCTTGAAAAAGTTCTCTTAAAGTTTTCATTCTGACAAGCATGCTGTCTGGGATTGTCACTGTTTTTTTTGAAAGCCTGTACACGCTCCTCCCACCACTGAAACGGTATACATCATATAACCTTTTTTTCTTTTTAGCATCTAATCTTCACAATCCAATAGGTCCCCACGACGCTCGAGTAAATCCACATTTAGCCTCTCGGCCTCCCCTACTATTATAGCAAATGTAGTACTATGGAAGTGTCCTATATGGTTGCTCCATCCTTAGCAATGATTATTATTGTTATATGGATGTTACAACCGATGTTACATATAGACACTTCCATAGTACTACAGTTGCTATAACTAATACGTATTGATGGGCGAAAAATATCACAATTATTATATAAAAGAAAGGAGGAATAATTACACAAAAGAATATTACAAGATTAATAAATTTTCCTGTTTCATCGACCAGAACATAAACTGTAACCTCGACTGTAACCTAAAAATGTTTTTTGAACGTTATATCTTACCTTTGAAAATCGGAATTAAGGCCTCAAATCCTATGCTTTGAAGATACAGCTCGCAAGCTTCGTCCATAACACAAATATGCACAATACAACACTTTATACTACTTATGATATCTATAATTTTCGCAGCAGGTCTTCGCGAGTCGCGGCTCGCGAATTTTGGCGGTAACATTAGTTATAAAAAGCTACTGGTGATAGTGCAACCGTTAGTCTCAGTGCTGTGTAACCATATACCTATACATCTCTCAAACATACTATTTGTTCTAAGACCATATTGAGAGATAGCAATAATTGTTCGGTTGAGGCAACCATATATTTGGATATTCTAATCGAATATTACTTATCGATAGAACTACGGTTGTGATAACCGTATGGATGGGCATATCTTAACAGCTACATTCAATGTAGTATCAATGTAATTTGAAGTCACATAAATTTCTTTTCCAAACATAGAGAATATTGTAGTAACAACCATAGCATTTTTTTCCGTGCACCCAACTTCCTGCGTCTTGCGTTCTGCGTCCTATACAACCTATTATAACTAAAATATGTTAGGTTAGTTTCTAGTCTTGCGAACTGCGTTTTGCAACTTATGTAGACGGGCCTTAAGAGTCGATGAGTGGTACAAATACCAAAAGTTAATTAGAATACCGTAAAGTGTAACGAGCAACGTTGCGAGAAGTTTTGATATTTTAGCAATCAACTCGAGCTAGACGTTCCGAACAAATTAACATTTTTCGTTAAGTAAATCTATTATAATTCTTGTTGAGATAATAATAAATAAGGTAAAGGACTCTTAGTTTAAAACATAAAGTAATAGACTAAAAAGACAAATTAAGAGTCATAACATTAAATTTTAATCACGTAGTCAAAAAATAAAAGAGAAACAATTATAAAATAAATTAAATTAAAAGATGAATCCATTTTTAGGGCAAGAAATCAGTCTAACAACGATTGGTAGTAAATCTGTGGAAGAATAATTAAATAATCTCTTTTATAAAATCAATAAGTCATTAAGGGTCGACAGGAGTGACCCAGAGACCTCTAGTCCAAGATAAATTTTTTATTCCCAAATTACGGCTAAAACTGGATGGATCGCGTTTTAATTGTGATATTCGTATAATTAGGAAAGGCTCCTGAAGGCTCGTACAGAGCTATTTTTTAGTAAAAAAAGGCTAACAAAAATATTACGGGAGTGGAGTGGGTCACTCCTGTCGACCCCTAATCTCGGTTTAACTTACTGTTCATCGTTTTCTAATTTTTAGAATTAGAAAAAGATGAAGAGCAAATTGAACCGAGATTAAAAGTTAATCTGCATTGGTGGAAATGGGCATTAATGTATATAAAATTGTCACGTGGTCAGAGAGAACATATCAGTACATTTATCGACAAAACAGGAAAGAAAATTAACACGTCTTGTCTCAACAATAACCACATAGAATTCTGATCGTGACATAATCGGAATCGTTTTCAATCGGAATTTTTTCTCAACGTGTAATTAAATCTCGACGTGAGGGAGGGGGGGGGGGCCAGCAAAATTGTTTTTATATATCCGTATCTAGCGAGAGAGACATCGAACAAAATACTTGAGAAAATCGTTGTTTCGCGAAGCATCTCGAGGACGGCGACGTACGGATCGTACGGATGTAACGATTCTCGACGACGATGTACTGCGATCAGTGTTGCCGCGACGAAAATTTAAAATATACTGACACCTGGTGGCAAAATGTAACATTTAATACATTAGGGTCATAAATGTACTAAAAAATGTACTAAAAAAGAGAGAAAGAAGCACGAAATAAAATATAAATACAAATATATATTTTATTTATTATTGATTTAAATGTGTACCTACATATGTACTACTTATTTCAATTTGTATATGTATTTTATTTATAATTTATTTACATTTTAATACAGTTCATAAATAACTTAAGCCCATGACACATAGAAAAACGTAATTCCGTAAACGTAATCAGTAAGCGAATTGACCAATCGCAGTTGAGACGTAAGCGGCGGCGGCTTACGTTCTCAACTGCGATTGGTCAATTCGCTTACTGATTACGTTTACGGCCTTACGTTTTTCCATGTGTCATGGGCTTTAAATAAAAACTCAGATTGTGAAATTAATTATATAAATTATAAGTATATTAAACTACTTACTGTACATTGAGTAGTTACAGGCAGCATGAAATAAGCAAAGATGTTCAGAACATTCAGAAAAACTTCGAAGAAAACATAAAATTAACAAAAAATTGCTTACTTGTCCCCACTATACATATAATTAATATCATATCCTCGAGTGTACACTTTGGAATCTTGCAGGATCTTATAATAGTTTTATCAGGGAGAAACCTCTTTGGTTTAACACAATTTCGAATAATTTTAATCTTACTTTTACTGTTTTTACATTGGCTGCGTACATTTAAATTCTTACAACAATTTACAACACATTTAAAAAATTCTAATAAATTCTAAAATGTAATAGATTTAAAGTATTTTGTATTGACGTACTAAAACAGATCAAAATGTAATAAAAAAATACATTTGTACTAAAAACGGCAACACTGCTGCGATGTACTCGATGCAATCCGTCGGACGGTGATCTCTGATGAGAGCTGATCGGCTCTGCTCGGCTCGGCTCGCTCGGTTGACGCTAGTGAAGCCGCCGCACCGTGCCGCGCCGGTTGGTAAGACACTGCAAGATACGACGATATGGCATTGCCTGGCATACCTCTCGGACCGTCGGACACAGCACAGCGTATAGCGATTCGCATACACCCACCGCGTGTATGCGATCGAGGTAACACACCGGACGACACGAGTTCTCTCTCGATTAACCCTTGCTCGCAGTTGGCGCGGCGCGGCGGTCGCACTCTCTCCTATAAAAGAGACGGAATCGAGTGGCCCGCGGACAGTTGTCATCGCGAACTTGCCGGAAGCGGTTATCTCTGCGAGAGAAGGACCGAAAAAAATTGACACGTTTATCGCACATGTCGTTCGCCGTCGGGGGAAGATAACGGCGAGCTGACGGTTATCGCGCGCGATGATAATCGTTCGGCGGTTTTCTCCTCGCTGAGAGAGAGAGAGAGAGAGAGCGCGTCCGCGCGCGCGGTAATAGCACGTGGCTGCGAGACTATTATAAGAGAGGAGCCCCGAGAGCGTGCAACGCGGCAACGGTAGACAGAGCGACGACGCTTCCGTTGGCAATAAGAGGCGCGTCGGTGGTCGAGAGTCGTCTTCGTATCGCGGAGAGAGAGGGGACGAAAAGCGTTTTATATTAGGCGTGACGCGGAATTCGAAGAGCGGGCAAAAGTGTCGTCGTTCCGTAAAACTCGGTCGCGCGCTTCTTATACAGTATACTTATATACACGCAGAGCGGCTACTTCCCGGTTCCCGCGATCTCGTCGCGGGAGGACCTCCACCTCCCACCAGGCAGGGAGGAGTTGACCAGGCGGCTCGCGGTCAGTCAGTCAGTCAGTCGGACGTTTGCTATCCGATACGCTTGACGCGCTTTTGACTCGTGGTCGTCGGGAAATCAGAGCTACTTATAGCTGGCCACTGCCGGCAGCAGCAGCCGCGCTGCCGCACCGTGTGTCAGTCAGACGTGCGAACCGGCGCGGCCGCCGCGCGGCGTAAAACACCGTCGTCAAGTAGAGAGAAGTGGCGAGAAGTACGCGCGGTAGGTGAGGAGGCACGCGCGGGTGGTGCGAAACGGGAGGAGAAAACGAGAGGAGGAAGGAGAAGAAGAGAGAGAGAGAGAGAGACTCTCTCGCGTGTCTGTCTCTTGGAGCATTCTCGTAGCGCAGCTCCGTGTATACCTACCTACCTATACCTACCACCTTATAAAACGTGCGCCGCAGTATCGCGCGCTCTCGTGGCCGCCGACGGAGAGGCGCGAGAGGAGCGCGAATCGAGAGATCGCGCGCTCGGCGAGGAGAGTAGCGGCTCGGAGTTGCGAGAGAGCGCGGCGGCGTGTTTCTCGCGCACAGCACACAGTTCGTCGCTTAGCTTCGCCTCGTTCCCTTCGCGCGCGCGCGCTCGTCATTGCGGCGAGGTGCGCGGTAATGCGGAACGTCCGCGTGAGGATCGTCTTGGATTTTCGCGTACCGTCTCTCGGTCGAAGTAAGAGGAACGGAGACGGCGGAGCGTTGCGCGTTTAAAAACTTGTCCTTTTTCCGTTTTTTTTTTTCTTTTCTTTCCTTTCCTTTCGTCCGCGCCGCGACGGAAGTAACAATAAGGGGGATAGGTTACGTATAGTGCAGAGAGTTTGGTGTGCAGTGAACGATTTCGTTAATAATATATAGATCAAGTGCGGGGCGGCTTCTCAACGACGTACGACGACGAGGAAGGAGAGAGAGAAGTAGAGGGAGGAGGAGGAGGAAGACGCGCGCTATATGCGTAAGGTACCACGAGTGCCAGGAGAGAGAAAGAGAGAGAGAGAATAGAGGGTGGCCGTCGCCGTGAGAGACCGAGAGTCGCCAAGACAAGATGCAGCTTCACGGTGGTCTGATGTTCCCGATCCTATTTATCGTCGCTTCCTGTCCTTTGACGTTGCGCGCGCGAAAAGTCGCACCTTTGATCGAGGACGACTGGGCGAGGAGACCGCATCGGGCCGCAGGTGAGTAACGATCTATAAATCTTGTTTACCCGTTGTTTACCCTAAACGTGCCGGCGACGACGACGGGTCGCTCTGTATCAACCGGTACGATCTTTTTCGCGGAAGGTGAGTTGAGGGTAGAGAGACAAACGTCAAACGCGAATAAGGTCCCACCTTTTCTTCCGGTCGTGTCTCTCTCTCTCTCTGCCGTGGATGAGGTTCTCAATCTCTCCGGCGTCCGGCGATTTTTTTCGCTCGGTTGTCGCCTGCCTCTCGGGGAGAGAGAGAGGCGCGGCGGCGGCGGCGGCGGCGGCGGTGGTCTCTTGTCCTTTAAAGGTTAGAGAGGCGTCTCGTACGTGCGGCGAACACACGGCTGTGTCTCGCGGCTCCGTTCCGAGCGCGACCGCGAGACGGTCTTACATAATGAGGAACGCGCGCGAGAGAAGAGAAAAAGAGGAATGAAGAAATGGGAGGAAAAAGGAAGAAGAAAACGGAGCGGCGACCGCGCGCGCACATCCGTGACGTTCCTTCCCAAAAACCCCCCCCCCCCCGATCATAATGCTTTCCTCACGACGCGCGACGCCTTTGCGAGATTACGCTTTCACCGTGTAAAACGTGTTTCCCCGCCGCACGCGGTTATCGCGAAAACCCTTCGCTGACCTTCGTTTGCGACTCCTCGTATTTTTTTTTCTTTTCTTTTGACGAGGTTCGACAAAATCGTCTTGAAAGCTCTCGACGCCCCCCGCGTCGTCTCATTGTCTTTGGAACATGCCGTTCGGCGGAAAAGGGCAGCTTTTCGCTCACAACTGTTTGTTGTAAGAGAATCTTAACGTACGATTGGCTCGTATGACACTTCCAGCGAGGAATTTTTACGGAAAGACTAATCCATGTTAAAGACAATTTTTAAATATACATATAAATAAGATACCTGTCCGCGATCGTTGGGTCGTAATAGATTTATAGGACGATACCATTGTACGATTCGCGCAAAGTCAGTCGCGAACGTTTCGACTCTGGATTCCAGTCTCCCCTCGGCGCGGAAGTCAAAAGGCCTATTGATTATCGAAGAACTCTGAACTGGAGGCGTACAGTGCCAATAAATAAATTGTATTTGTTTCACTTTAACTTATTATTACACCGGTGTGCACCAGTTTAGAGAGTTTATCGATAGAGAACGGATCTAAACCGCTGAAGAATGTTACGAGAGCCGCGAAGCTGGCTGCTTTTTTTCTTCTTTTTTTTTGCCAAACGCAATCGTTTACTTTTTAAGCGGCAAATTGTGCGCGCGACGCGCTATCGATGTTAAATCTCTCAGCTCTCGTTATCTCGACGAGATTTTAAAATGCAAAATGCGCCGTGTATTTGCCCGAGCAAATCACCGCGCTTTATAAAGTAAACCGGGAGTTTTCTACTTCGTGACGTAGCGTTCAAATATCTCGGAGAATTGTTGCACCGACAGAGAGAGAGAGAGAGAGAGGAGGAGGGGGGGAGGGGGAGAGAGAAGGACTCGTGTAGCTCGTTTCTCTTCTTTATAAGGATCTAGCAATGTCCACCGGCTTGTGCCGCTCGTGTGCCCTCTTTTTCTCTCTGCCAATTCCATTCTTCTTACACAGGTTTCGTTTTACCCGTTCTAGTTTATTTCTGTCTTATTTAACTATCCCGTCTCCTTTATCGGACGCGCGTCGTCGAACTGCGAACGCTCGTGTCGCGTCTGCTAGAGTGTTTACAACATTCGTGTTTACGCACGCGAGGAGAGGACGGAAGACCGAAGGTCTGCATAATTCGACCTGAACGAATCGCACACCGTACGAGATTGCAATGATAATCAAGCGCCGCTTTTATGTCGCGACGTTTTCGAAACAGTAACAACGACATCGTCCTGCATACAAATTTGATCGATCAGTGACACGCGTGTTATATACGCCGGATAATCGAACGAGGGCGCATTCGAAAGTATCGGTTAAACAAATTGCGCCTGTTGTTAATTCACGATAGTGAAAAACTTCGCTGAAAAAGATATCTGCACACGATTGGAAAACTAGTTTTTATTAACATATAAAATTTGAACAAAGACTCGAGGGGATATCATTTCTCTAACACAAAATGTTTTTTTTTTTTTACTGTGATTGTTGCATTAATTTGAAAGATTCAACCAGCATATTTGTTCGAAAACAATTGCAAAAATTTAATTCAAAATCTTGTTCCAGGTACAAAATATCGAATTGCGTTCAAATATAATACGTCTTTTGTTGGTATATAATTAAACCGTACTTTTCTTGCGTTTGATTACTTTGATTTCACACGACGCTTTATATTATCCGCCTAGTGGCTTCCGGATTTAATTACTGCTGTAATATCGGAATTTGTTAGGGAGCCGATTTCGCCGCTATCCTCCGAAAATTGTATACCTAGCTGGTAATGAGGCCGGCCAGTTGCGCACGTTTGAAACTTGTCTCGATTGATTTCTGCTGGCCGTCAGCTTAAGTCTGTTTAAGCTGTCGACCCTGATAGTTTTTTTTCTTTTTTTTTACCATACTAACCATTTTCGGATCGTTCTTAATCGTACCCGACTAAGTAAATTCATTAGCAGGCTTCTCTGATTTAATACAGGGTTGTCCTTCTGAGGAGTCAGTTACCGTTTTGCAACTCTTCATTATTTTTATGTTTGTCGTTTCCGAATAGTTTTATATATGTATATATATGGAAGAAATGATTTTGCTAAAGCATCTAAAAATTTAGGTAAATACAAATTCGAAAATAATTTTATCGGACTGTCAAAATAATTATGTAGAAAAATCAAGCGCAATGTTTAACATTAGCAATCAGTTTTTCAGCGTTCTATACATAATTAATTATTTTGATAGTCCAAAATACCAATAATTAATTTCGGATCTATATTTATAACTAAATTTTAACAAAACCTTTAGCAAAACCGTTCTCTTCGTGCGTGTGTATATAAAAATTCTAAAATTTTTCAAAAACTATTTTTCCAAAATGGCGAATGGAATTTTTATATACGATGTTTTTTTAGCAGGGCTAGGCACGTATTTGAAATACTTTCATTTAAAACACAATTTTGCAATAAAAGTAGATTTTATATTTCAACAGTGTACAAAAGTGGAAGTATTACGTATTTTGTATTTAAAATTGAAAGGTTGAAAGCTTTATGTATTTCGTAATTTAAATAACTTTAATCGTCAATCATAGTATTCAAAATATAAAATACTTTTCATAACGCGTCGTCGCCACCCAGGTCAAAGTTTTTTATTTAACGAGCTAATACATAAGTTGTTAATTTATTCTAAAATATCATTACAATTTTCTAAGCGGAACATTTCGACTTTACTAACATAAGTCTTCATCAGCCGCAATAATATGAATTTTTGACAAACCCCTTGTATACATTGATCCAAATAATATAATACATTCCACGCTATTTTTTAAAAACTAAGATGTCAGTAACATGATGTCCCTATCATTACAATATGAAACTAAAGGTCATGTGGTATTGTATATTGACCTTTAGTTATTGACATCTTAGTTTTTAAAAAATAGCGTGAAATATATTATTTGGAGATATAGACTGAATACAGAATGAAGGCTTAGTAAAGTCGAAACGTTCCGCTTAGAAAATTGTAATATTTTAGAATGAATTAACAAACTTATATATTAGCTCGTTAAATAAAAAACTTTGACTTGGGTGGCGACGTTATGAATTGTTTATTCTCACACGAGTGAAAAATAGTGATTATTAACACTTGAATCATTAATTTGTTTTATTTATTTATTTAAAATACTTTTATATAATATTCATGTACTCCGCTGAAATATCAAATACACGATAGAAAAAATTGTCTTACACAAATACCATTTTCAAATAAAAGTAGTTAAAATACGTGCCTATAGTTCTATTTTTGAGAGTGAATTCGAAAAACGGTTGTATGTGCGCGCTTTATGTGTTTTTGTCGAAACCTGGAGAGAGATCCGATTTTGTCTTTTTCGTTCTCAGATTTCCACCCTCTTTCTTCGGATCTTTTTTCCTCGCTTCGAAACTTCTCACGTTAGGAACACCTGTTAGGCGTTGCCGTTGATGCTAATCTCAATTAGTATTTATCGCCGAGGTGGCGACAGAGTAGACGAACACGCGAGTCTCTAATACCGTCGAAATAAACTCGCCGCGCGTCCGCCTTTAAACTGTTGCGTCTCCGGGACGGCGATGCGTGAAATTGTCTCTTTTTCTTTCTCGCCAATAATATAACTTTGGTCTAACAACACACGATAGCACGTCGCGATCGAGAGAGAAACGGAGACGAGAGACGAGAGCCCGGCAGATTTCGTTCGATAAAATCTTTGATCGCCGCGCCGATTTCCGGCGTTTATAATTCACCCGAAAGTTCGAGTTTCGAGTTCCTGGAAACGGAGAGAATGTTTTTGAATTCTTTACTCCTTCGAGACCGGAGAATCCTCGCGTTACATCGCGTGTAAATCAATTAACGTCACTTTTCAAATATCGTCGCTTTGAGAACCGGTCCGTTCGTGTGTATAAACATTTATACGCGAAATCAGCTAGAAAGGAAGGATAATCGGCGAGAGATTTCTATCCGAATTATCCGAGAGAGAGAGACAGAGAGAGAGAGAGAGAGAGACGGCATTTGGCTGAGAGATCATCACTATGCGCTTCGTTGTGTTCCTCGTATTCGCGGATTCGACCAATTTCTACCCAATTTCATACGATGGTAGATTACCTCGGAATCGCGCGTATTTAAAAACGCCTGAAAGTTTTACATAAATGGGCCTTATTCACGTGGCGGCGCGGACAGAGCATCGGATCGGAACCCTTTCCTCGCCCTCGCGAGCGCGTCGCTCGATCCTCCGTACAAGATTCGCGGCTAATTGGCTGCAGCCACGAAGACAACGCTGCCGTTGTGCATTAAAGAAGTTTAGTAAGCCAATGCGCGTCTTTTTTTTCCCCTTTTAAGTAGGTAAACGACGGCGTTGCATATCGCACTCGTAACGCGCGT